GGACCAAATCAAGGATCGCCTCTCCCTTGGTAGGTTCCGTGACCATCTGCTCCGTAGCACAGTCATTTCGAGTGTCTAGAAACTCAATCTCTTTTTCTCGACTAGAACACATATTGACACAATAAATCACCTATTACGACACAGTGTTTTTGTCTAGCTGCTATTTTGAATTCATTCATCATTTTATAATCCTCCTCTATCTTTTGATCTGGTGGGCGATAACAAACTCCCAGTGTTAAGTTTCTTTTACCTTCTAATCACTCCTGTAAGGCCATACTGATAATAAATATAACAAAAAATGTTTTGCTCAAGAAAGATCATAACAGCAAGCTTTATGATGTAACAAGAAGGGGGGACCCACAATACTCGCAGGGGGGGAGGAGCGCCACGTGGAGGAGGAGGAAGAAGCAGCCACAGGTGAGCCTTCTCTCCCGCTGCACCAATGGAGAGGCCCGGGCCCACCAATCCTTCTCCCCCCAACCCCCCCCACACTGACGGCGAGGCCCACGCGGCTCCCAGCTGCCAGGCCCACCAATCCTTCTCCTCCACTTTCCTTGCCCCAGCGGCAAGCCGCACGGGCCCACCGAGCCTTCCCCCTGGCTTTGGCGGCATGGCCTGAGCAGCTCCCAGCTGCCGGGCCTGCCGATCTCCTCCCTCCAGCTCTTTGCGATCCGCTTTCCCACGGGGGGGGGGGGGTGGTAATTTGCTTTTTATAGTCGTATGCTTAGTTTGAACTCATGTTCATTGTTGGTCAATTTCTATAACCTTGCTTTCTTCAACGCTGTTCTGCTCGATCTCCAGCACTTGTCCCGGTCAAACCAGCTTGTGCCCGAAGGCCACGCAGCAGCCGGACCATCAGGGCGGAGGGGAGCCTCAATTCTCCGGCTTTACACCATCAAAGAGGCTACCCCTCAAAAGCCCTCTGGCCTGGAGCCTATCTCAAAAGCTCCGTGGGGGCGCTACTTGAGGTGGCACCCCTCCAACCCGCTGGTGTGCGGATCGTTCCCCCACAGTCCTGGGAGAATGTCCGCCATCGCTGCTCCATAAACCGGAAGTCAACACTGCCACATTATTGATTAGCTGCCGAAGTCCCACTGTGATCAACAGAGACCATATTCAAACACTGGAGCAGTGCTCTCTATGTATGCCAACGAAGCGGCAAAACAAGATACTGTCATAAGGATGCCAAAGTTTATTTCTATCATTTTAGCCTCAGAACAAACAAACCAAGCCAGAGGCTACAACTCTAAGGAAACTTTCCTGGAATTAAGGCCCACTGAATCACCTTGGACTTACTTCTGAGTAGACCTGCTTAGGATTGTTTCCAGGCAACCCCAAATTACAGCAAACAGGTAGATGCCGTAACTTCAGCATGACCAACCAGGAAATGGAACGTATGAAGAGTAACCAAATTGTATATCTAAGGCAGTTAATATCTTACTTCCAGTTCACCAGGTTGTGTAGCTCAAAGCTGACTGCTGTTGAGTACCACTAAGAAGTTTTTTGCTTTTATTTCAACCCCACCCCAAATTTCAGTAAACTGATAGATAGTCGTGTATTTGCTACATTCACATATCCAAACTAACAGCTGAGAATATTTAGAATATGCACTTCCACTGAAACTTCTCACATTCTGCAAGCTATTAGAGCACGCACGATGAAAGATTCAGGCTTTGGAAAGTTATTACAGGCAAGTTAATAATGGCTATTCCCAACTAGCATTGTGTCACTATTTGGCAAGAGTTTTTCTGGGAAAACTCCAAGATCAGTGACCTCATAAAGGGTCTCACTACAGTATACCGTATAGCCGCATTAGTATAATGCAGTGCCACATTTTAACACCATTCATTAATATCAAGCAAGTCTGCTTTGAAATCAGTTAAACCATTTTTAAATGAAAATACCCCTTTTGGCTGACAAGATCAGGAATATTTTCAACAAATGGCTTAGCCAATAAAATAATGACCAGGGAGAAAAAATCTGAGCGGCTCCCTCCCCCATACCAATCTATAACAGTGTGTTACTTGCTACTTAACATCCACCAATTATCAATAACATCTCTCTTCCCACCATTGCTCTATAAAACATGAAAAGGATACACAGAAGAAAAGAGTAAAACCAATATGTATACTTTTTAAAAGCTTCCTTTAAGTTTGATCACAAAATGGATTCTTTTATTATTCTTTCATTATATTTTTTCACATTTAATATCCTTGATCATTTAAAAATCTGAAGGGGATGGAAGAATGTGAAGTGGCTATCTGTTGAATCTATGTTCTATGATCAACTTCCCTTCTCTGCATTTGTCATTTCTAGTGTGTCAACCTCACATCTGAGAGGAGCGGAAAAGAAACACATGCAGTAAACTGCGCTCTCTCTCTCTCTCTCTCTCACTCTCTCTCTCTCTCTCTCTCTCTCTCTCTCTCTCTCTCTCCTCATTCAGATGAGCCAATACTTTCTCTGTCTTTCTTCCTGTCAAGTAATGAATTCATCTGAACTTAAAAGCAAATCTATAAAATAGTCTAGTTCTAGAGATGCTATCAAATGCTGGGCATAAATCCATGAAGGTGATTATTTACTGGAAGTATACTTCTCAATCAAATGGGCTAAAACCAGGCCGTGATCAACTGCAGAGCATCCTTGGCGGAACCCACCTTGTTCCTCACACAGAATTTCTGACTCCTCCATCCATTCTTTCAATCTTAAGCTTGTAAGAGGGACTTTCTAGTAGTGGGGGGGAGTCCTAGGCCAGCATAAAAACGGCTTCTACCATAGAGTTTTTGCCCAAATTCCAGAATGTTCTCACACTGCCAGCAATGTGATGATGTCACTGCCAGTGCATTCCAGAAGTGACGTTGCAGCATTGCCAATGATGTCACTGCAACAGCAGCCCATACCTTCCCCCCATTGCTGGTAAGTCCCCTGCCCCCAACCAGTTTCCAGAAGGAAGCTGGCAACCCTACTATAAAGTGGAAACAACCCTTCCTGGATCGTATTTCTTGAGACTGCGCTACATTCTTGCAGCGCTCCACCACATAAAAAGATGAAGGAGCTGGCCACCTCTGAACACCTCTTTCCTTGAAAACCCTGTGGGGTTGCCATTAAGTCAGCTGTGAATTGATGGCAAAAAAAAAAAAGCCAGTCAGAAAGAGGGCTAGCATCTCTTTCATCAACAAGCTATCTTTCCATAGATCAAAGATGGCAGTTTTTGGCAGAAGGGAACATTCTGATATGCAGTCCTCCAACTGTGCTCTAAAGTGGTTGCAGTCTAAGAACGCTACACCACATGACAATTATGAATGTGTAGTTCAGCTCTGACAGGCCCTCCCACCTAAGCTAATTACAATTTGAAAACTAGGAAGGATCTAGTTTTGATTCCTATTGTTACCTTTTATCCACTGCTCGAGGCCATTTTCCGTTTCTTCCAACTTTCTACTTTAGATTTCAAACCACAGGTCATTTCTAATTGTCTTGTGGTTCTCAAGAACCCAGAGAACATGCTGCATCATTATTCCCACTGGGGCTGACAAATGCGTAGTACAACTACCAAGAAAAGGACTTGGTGTTTCAAAACAAAATAAGCCAAATACGAACACTCATCTGCCACCAAAGAAATACTGAAAAGGACCATTAAACAAATAAACGAACAACACCTCCTGGAAAAAGAAATTACTAGTACTTTTTAGGAAAGAGGCTTGAGGCTTTTAAAAGTGCCTTTCTGGACCCTCAAGGGGAAAAAAACCATAGGCCCCATGATGGCAGCTTAGCACTCACAAACTACTAATCATGATGGAAAATCTTGGCTTTACTGTTTACTTTTATGATTCTCTCTATGAAAGTAGCAGACATAGCAATAAATGACATAACTCTCATTACCATTCCATTCATTCATGCAAGTCACTAATATTTTCTGCCAGAAAAATAAATTGTGAGCAGAATATTCCTGAATGTAAGGCACTGAAAAAGGTTTGAAGAGGAGGTTAGGGGGCTTCTGGTACATATTTGCTCATGTTATAAAAATGGGTAAAAATCTTCACTGTTAAAACAGTACTGTATGTTCTGTGTGGATTTTAAGACCAAATCTATTCAGCGAGTTCAATTCTTAAACCACAAGCCACTCTAGACCAGAACCACGACCAGCACAAGAGACTAGGAAACATTCCTTGGAGAGAAACTGACTACATTCACTCTATTTCCTTCTTGGCTTAATACTGTGGACACACCTACTCCCTGGTGAGTGAACATAATTCAGCTGCACCCTTTCAGCAGCTGGTCTGTACAGGATGGAATCATGTGGAACGTAATTTACTACAATTCCTGGCAGCCGTTGGAGCTGCACCTTCAATAAACATTGTTTAAACAAGTGTTCAAACAAAAATGGTTTAGTCTTCAGGTTGGTTCACCTCAGCTGAATAGAGAACATATGAAATATTTCTACCTACAGCTCTACAACAAGGTATGCTTCCTTAGATCTTACGGCGGCAGCTCTCCTCTGCAATTTATATCTGCCCAAAGTGTTTTTAAATGGCTAAAAGGTTCCCTTGCTCGAAAGCCAGTCGAATCCGACTCTAGGGTTGCGGTGCTCATCTCCGTTTCAAAGCCGAAGAGCCAGCATTGTCCAAAGACGTTTCCGTGGTCATGTGGCCGGCATGACTAAACACCAAGGCTCACGGAACGCTGTTACCTTCCCACCGAAGTGGTACCTATTTATCTACTTGCAATTTCTTGCTTTCGAACTGCTAGGTTGGCAGGAGCTGGAACTAGAGACAGGAGCTCACCCCGTCTTGCGGCACCCGGGTCTTGAACTGCTGAACTACTGACCTTCCACAGCCTGCAGTTCAGCGTCAAAAGCACTTTTTATTTTGCCAAGGAACTATCCTTAAATAAACCATTTTCACTCCAAGTCCATTTTAAGTTCTACATTTTTAAAAAGGAAAATGAGACTATAAATCAAAACCATTATTACATAATCTTTCCCCAAACACTGCAAATTTACTCACCAACAACATCAAGATGGTAAGTGTGATTGATCGACCCGTGTATATTCTCCACTATACAGGTGTAATTTCCCTTGTCTGATGGGACCACGCTCTCCATTATAAGACTCCAGTGCTGATTTCGTACCTATTAGAATTTAAAAACAGCTTTTTAACAGGTGGCATCACAATCTTTATCTTCTACTTCAAATGAATTTTAACCCATCTGAGAGCTTATATGGTGCAGTGGAGATTGTGCTAGACTGTGATCTGGGAGACCAGGGTAAAAATCTTCACTAAGCCATGAAACTCATTGGATTAGTAAAGGTAAAGGTTTCCCTTGCTCGAAAGCCAGTAACACATTGGATTACCTTGTACCAGTTGTTATCTCTCCATCTACCCTACCTTACAGGGTATGCGTCTCTCAGTTCTTTAATATATGGCATTTGTAATACTAACTGTCCTCCCATGGGCTGAGAGGCATCCCAGATACTCAGAAAACCAGGGGTCGGGATAGGGTTGCCATCTGCCCACCTACAGCAAGCATTTGCTTCACTGGTCTTGCCCACTGATGTTGACTGTCATGGCAAGAGAAAATGGGGGGAAATTGCATTCAATTTCAGAAGTGATGGGTGATGTTCTACGAATGCACTTAATTCTCTATAGCCTTTACCTTAGAGATTTGATTTGGGGGGCCTCCTAGACAATTGCTCAGAAGTGATGTCACTTACTGGTTTTCTCCTGCCACAACAATCATCAGTAGGCCTTGGAGCCTAGGTCTGGATTAACAACTCAGGTTTTCAGCAAAGTTCCAGTTGCATAGTGCACACCAGCACATTATGAAAACTCATTTTCCTGATTAGGGTACTAGCCATAATTACCATTATCATTTTCTAGCCTGATTATTTTCTGTTTATCATAATAGCCTTATTAGGCAGGAAAGCACCTGGGCTGTAATGTTCTGTGTATGAGCTTTGAACTTTAAAGCATAAGAAAGGAGATTTTGTTTCTCGCCCCCCCCTTTCATCTTACGCTTTTTTACATTTATGAGGGCAATGATGGCCTCCAGGTCAGCCATTTGATATAAGATAATGATCAGCTCCATCAAGAAGCCTCGGGTTTACTTTGTACATTCAGTTCATTATTATGCTCCAGGAAACAGTCCTGAGAAAATCAAAGGTCCAGTTGTAACAAGTACCATTACGGTAGATTCCAATTTTTTCATTGTGGCTCAGGTAACATTAGTCCAAACTGAAGATGGGATTTAAAGTGCAGTCAGGTAGAGAGGTATAGATACAACGTGCAGTAGAAAGGACAAAAGATGCAATGCAGTGCATACTTGGGGTACATAATATATATACTTAGACCGTATACGGAGATCCAGTTTGGTATAGTGGTTAAGAGTGGTGGACTCTAATCTAGAGAACCGGGTTTGATTCCCTACTCCTCCACATGAAACCAGCTGGGTGACCTCAGTTCTTTCAGAGCTCTCTCAGTCCCTAAAAGCAAGTCTAGCTCACCACTAGCACAATGCTAAGAGTCAAAACTTGCCGCTGCCAGACAATCCTAGGATCTCCTGGCTATTCTACACACAATGCATGATGATGATGATGATGATGATGATGATGATGATGATGATGATGATGATGATGATGATGATGATAATTAGGCCTTATATAAAACATATACCTTACAGCCCTTATATTTTGTGCTTTAACGCTTATACAAATTCTCTTGACTGAACCGTTGACCTGTGAATGTGGACAGTCAACCCATGCAATATTCATGAAAGGGTGAAGTAATTGGACAATGGATACTGCACTGCCTCTCAATAGACCTTCAGCCCATTTGAGCAGTGCAAGTAGTGAGGGCCAAATTGTGCTTTCTAAAACCATCACGGTCTCTTTCAGTACATGTAACACAGTGCATAGATCCTTCCAAACGAAACTCAAAATGCACTCATTTGATCAATGGAACTGGCTCGTAGAAAAGCAAAATTAATCCAGCTCTATAGTATGAAAAGAACCAGATTTACCATACAATCCTACATATTTCCTCAGCTGTCTTCCTTTATTCAATGAGACTTACTCCTAAGTAAGTGTTCTTAGGACTGCAGCTTGTACATTATCTATTTTGACAGAACAATGCCAGTCACTTCCCTTAGAATACAGCCACTAAATCTACCATAACTATCATGTCTTCTCTTCAACGCTTTGTACCTGTTTTCCTGTCACTTTGTATGTCAGCTTCATGATCTTTACATTAAGTCCAATGACACACACTTTGAAAAAAAATGCATTTTTAAGAAGTAGAGTGGAACAGTAGGATATCTACCTGACTTCTTCCAAAGTGATTTATCTATATAGCCTTCTCAGCATAGACCTCCCATGAGCAGACTTGAGAAATAAATAGGTACATTCTACATATTTACCAACAGTATTTCTCTACTTAAATGTTAAACAGATATAGTGGTTTCACAGGGTGCGCGCACACATGTATATACAGTTTCATTTTAGTTTCATAAAATAAGCAACTCAGTAACAATTAGTATGATTTATTTAGGGTTTACATACTAATGGTAATGTAATTTACCTTGCATTTCTTCACAAACGTTCGGACATAAACCCTATTACCATTTCTAATGATGAACTAAAACTGAAGATTGCTTCGCTTATTAGACAAAGTAAGATTGAGTAATTCATGCTTCCTGCTTTCACTGGAATATATGAGAGATCTAAGCTTTGCCGCCCTGAGGAAGCCAGGCAGCAACAGAGCCACGACGCCTGGCATTGTGATGTAGGCAGGGGGCGGAGCCGGCCTGGATAAACAGCTGGGCTCTGCTCCTGCTTGATGACAGTTGCTCCGATGTGCTCCCCCACCCTCCCACCCTGTTCTTAGTGTAGGCTACGGCTGGTTGCCTACTGGGGCCAGGTAGGAATTTTTCACTTCTACCCAGTATTGGCTGAATGGGTGGAGGTGTTTTCGCCTACCTTGCACTGAGAGCAGTGGATTGGATAGTTGGTTGTGGTGGTTGACACCTAAATAGGCTGGTCACTTGGCAGGTTGGTGCGGGCAAGAAACCAGAACTGGTGAGCACCTTACGGCATTTTCCCCATTAGGGAACAGGGGGTCATCAAGAACTGCCTTCAGATTTCTAAGGTCCAGGGTGGGGAACGGTGATCACCTCCTCTGGGAACCTCGTAGGGTATGCTCCTCTCTGCAAGTTGGAAGGCTTCAGGGGTAGGCACTCCTAGGTGGCGATCAGTTTGCTGGGCTGCCAGTCATGAGCCAGACCGATGGCTCAAGACCGGAGCTGGGTGACCCGCCCGAGAAAAGGTCAAGGAGGTGGTCAGGGGAGTGACACCTGCCTTGCCTGTTCCGTGCTCACTTAGCTGGTCCTTTGCCGTAATGTTATGTTAAATAGTTAATAAAGTGGCCTCTGTTTACTTCCAAAACTGTTGTCTGTCTCGTTATTCCGACGGGGAGGGGGGCATATACCTATGTGAGCAAGCCCCACAGTCATTCCAGCTGAAGTACAAAAACACCAACATATTTAAACTTCCATTTCCGCTACCTAGGTATCATTTGAAAGAGTTCTAAGATACAATAATATTCTCAAGAGCAGCCAGAAGTTCTCCCTAGGCCTGCCTGAGTAGGGACCTGAACACAGCTCCAAATACGCTGTCTTAGCAACAGCACTATCCTGAATCTCAGCTTTAACACACCTACTTCCTTATCATTTATCCAGGATAAGTGAAAAGTACTTCATACATTCTGACTTTGTAAGATACTTTTTTTTTTGACAGCTAGCCAAAATAAACCTGGTCTTTTTACCCTATCTGGTCTGAAAATAAGAAAAACAGACTGCCGTCTGAGAAGGCAGCCATTCCATTGACTAATTTGGGAAGATAACACTCTCAGTTACATTACACATAGCATGAACATGTGGCTGTTGCCAGTTTGCAAAAAAGAAAACTGCTACGCTGACAATTTTCATCTACTATTCTAAGTGAGATGGATACTGTAGCTACATTTTAGCCCGCAATCTAAGCCTACTTACGTCATCCCAAACAATCACTTTAGGTGTTCAGACCATTTATGACACTATGTCAAAAAATTACATTTATAACAGTTCAAGTTATTTATCTTGTTGACAAGGCAAAGGCTTAACAAGATCTATTTTTCTTCTTCCATGACATGAACACTAGCTGCTGGGAGATTGCTGAATCAAGATGCTAACCAGCTAATCAATCTTTGAACTGAGCAAGCTCCTCTGATCACCAAGGCTGGACAGCTTGTCACTCAGAGCTGCCAACTAGTAATTGTTTAAGAAGACAATCCTTCTTTGTCTTTATTAAACCAGTTCCAGGGAGCACAGTCTCATAAGTGCTCTGCATTACTCAAAACAGCTCTTGGTAGAATCCGATGGTATACCATCCTCATGCAAGATGCCATCACCATTGGTATGCACTGTTTAGAGGCACCGTATTCACTCCAGGGAAAAGTCCACGTAATCAGTCAACTCTTTATAACAGGTCAACTGCTTATGCACTGACATGGGCGGGGGGGGGGAGGACACCGAAGACAAAGGCTGCAGTCCTGCAACCATAGGCATGGCTGCATAGCTATGTACAGAAAGGATGAAGAAGATGGCAATATAAAGCCTTCCCCTTCTCCACCATGCTGCTTCTATCCCTGCCATGCTATAGGAAGAACGGGGGCTAGCGGCTCGAAGATACAGAAAGGCCCTGGCTGAAAGTGAACCATCTGGTCATGCCACAGCACAATCAGAATGGGAGCACTGCATCAAGTGCAGAAGCAGCAGTCTCCTGGCTGAGCCCTATATGAGTTACTCTACAGCTTTCTGTCTGTGTGCAGGATGGAGGTTTGTGGTCAAACCCAATTTCCTGAGTTTTCTTCAATGACCCATGTAGAATTATTCAATGACATTCTATTTCAGAGCTGGGTTCACGGTATCAATTACATCCTTTTAGTGTCCTATTCATTTTGATTTTATAACCACTGAAAAGTGCCCATATCACACCTGTAGTGATATTCTGTGCCAGAATAGTTTATCCAACATAAGATACAGCCAAAGAGAATGATAACAATACATTTAGCCCTTACCACAGCTCTGTTATATTAACT